GGCAATCATTGGTCGATTTTCTAGCGTTGCCATTCGGGGAGTTGTAATGAGGCTTTTTTTGTCGCAGTATAAGAGAAATATATATATAAATGTTTAGATTAGAATCTGAAGTCAAGATATAAGTAATTTTATAATGCTCAAGAGATAGGTAATAGATCGAAACATACACTTGTAACAAGCAAAGATGTACTATCACTTTGTTCTTGTTTCTCTTATTTTTAATTCCAAATATAGATAGGTTTCAGTTTCTAGGCAATAAATAGTTAAATAAAAAATGTCTCGTTTTACTGTTTTTAATTCCCCTCCCCCCATCAAATTCACGAAAGAAAAAGAAAATACTTAAAAATCGATTCCCAACTTTTACTAGAATTGTTCCAGAAATTCGCAATTTTTCCGTACCATTAGCTACAAAATGGACGATGGTGATCGAGTCTTCTTCAAATAATGATAGTTAGAGCGTTTCAAAGACAGTCGCCGTGGAAACCAATCGATTATAGATGAATGATTAATTGATAAACGCGCACAAAGTTATTTGACCTTCACAAATACTAAAAGTATTTCAATACATCCAATGTTATTCCAAACAGCAACTCAAAAAACTAACTATTGCATCACTATTTTGAAATAATTATTTCAAATAAGTTCACTGCTATAGTTGATATCGGAGAGAAGCTATTGCGAATTTACACTATGAATAATAGAACAACTTTCAATCGCATCCGCGTTGTGAAAAACTTAGTTAAGGATTCTTGCGTTACAATTCTGTTAAAAAAACAATTATTTTATTTTATAAACAGCCTTGAACAGTCGATCCAATTCTGAATTTACGATTAGCAATATTCAAATTCATAGCCCTGTAAGTGTGAACCTAAACCAGTAAACGAAGAAACTCCTGGATCAAGAACTGGAATAAATTAACCTTTGTTGAGATTTTTTTGAGGAAACTAACCCTGGTTTTGAGTTACAATGTAGAAAAAAAATATGAAAAATCTCCCACGGTTTACCTAACGGCAAGGGGATTCTAACCATGAACCCTCTACTACTGAGGATATTTTACGCCAGCCCTATGGTCGGCTTCAGACGGGAGCAGATATCGTATCGAACCTGGGACACCTGATTGGGAGGCGAATGCTCTATCTCGAGAGCCACTGCAGTTCTACAAGAAATTATTCACGATCTTGATATTAAAATGTTTATATTTTCTCTTTAAAATTACATGGATGAAATTTTTGAACTAATTAAATTGGCAGCTAATGCTCGAAGATAAAAACTTCAGAAAAGTGCAGTTGCCTTACTGCTGTGTTTCATAAAGGCATTTGTTGATGTTAACGCTGTTTTTCGAACCTTGTGGATAAGGAAAATAAAAAAGCCATTAAGTGCCTAACACTTGAAGCAATGTGATGATTTTAAACTATCTTGCCGCGAAGAATTATCTGAGCTTTATAACAGACAAATTTCTTAAATATTTCAAAAGCTGTTAAATTTTAAAGAAAAATCAAATAACCAATTTGGAGACCCCCCCCCCAGGTGAAAATTATCAAAATTTCTGCCTCATTCTCAGTTTTCGCAAATTTTCATAAGCCCAGGTAATGCAGCATTGAAGTAAGTTCATAAATATTAAAAAATTATACCATAAATGCTTTTCCTTTTCACGGAACTGTGGCTTTTCTTCATATTGATGTTTTGCGCCATTTTCAAAATAAGCGGAGACAGCGCGGGCTTAAATAGGCTAAACTTGAACTAACAGTCATGAGTAACTGTCGAAAACTCACAGCAGTAATAAAAATATCATATTATTAGCAAAAAAGCATAATTTTTTGCTGTCGAAAACTCACAGCAGTAATAAAAAAATATTATTAGCAAAAAAGCATAATTTTTTGCTGTCGAAAACTCACAGCAGTAATAAAAATATCATATTAATAGCAAAAAAGCATCATTTCATATGACTACAGGACCTTCGAAAAACAGTCATAATACAAAAAGATGCCTTCTTACACCCTTTATTCGAATAAGCGTTGATTAAATTGAAGTAAAACTCATTGTATGTTAATTACAGCTTAAAATCACAACCAAAAAACTCAAAAGTTGGTAACTATAATCATGGCTTTGCTGGTCTTAGAATAATTTAACGGTGTTAACGAAAACGAAAACGATTCTTTAACACATTTGTGATTACCACTTAATTCTGTTTGGTAACGAAAATATGTTCGTAAAAATTCTTAGAACTACCGGACATTTAAACATTAAATCGGTTACATAAAAAATGATACGTATTCCGCAAAGCAATGAAATAAATTTATTACAGTTATATTTTTTTTCTGAGAACCGTGGGAAGTAACGAAGTTGAAATAAATAGAAAGTAGTACTTTTTTCACGAATATTTTAAAATACTAATATATTTTTAATATTAAGTTTCGTCTTATGAGAATCCAGTAACTGAAAATTAGCTAATAAAGACCCAATTTTTTAAACATTTCAATGAACCATGAAAAATAACACTGAGTACATGCGATATACTTGGTCATAAAATCTATGGGATCGAAAGTCCTATGGTTGGTCACTGATGAGCACTACCAGGGGTGCAGGGATCTGGAGAAATTTTCCATCAGATCTAGGTATGTCTAAATTCATAAAATGGTCTAAAAACAAGTGACACTGCCATCTATCCGTCAGATTCTGTGCTAAGACGTACTTTCACCTTTGCGGTGCTCCCTTCTCAAGTGAACAGTGCACCTTTCTGACTTAATTTGTAAAAGATCAATGGTTGGCGGGCATGGCTTGTTCAAGCGTCGTTAGAAAAAACAATAATAAAAAATAACAAAGTGATAGCAAAATTTTCTCATTTGTAATCAATTTCAGGAGTACTAAAAAGGTTACGAAAAAATATGTAACGTAAGCATCAAATTCCTTAGAATTGAAATAATTCCTTTAAACGGCAAACTATCCATTACACTTAGGAGAAAAATTTTCTACATTTTTTTGTATTTTTATTATTTCTATTTTAACCCATTAAGTATCGATATTGCCGGGAAGTTTTTTCGAAAAGATTAAGATTGGTAGCTCAATTATTTCATTTTTGAAATTCATCTTGAGAAAACTTAAGTCATTAACACCATAATTTATTAATAATATAAATGCTTACAAGATAATAATTTTTTTATGCTGTTTCAGTTCCCAAAAAAGATCTCCACTAACTTCATATATAGTAATAGCATAGAGTTCAACTAGCATATTACAAGGATGCCACAGGTCGCTAAAAATGCAAAAAGTAGTAGAGACTCGATTAATTATTCTTTCATCGTTAATTATTCAATCGTAACTATCACTATGATTTACATTTCAAATTATTCAGATGAAAAGCAAAATCATTTTTATCATTACTGTGATAAAAAAAAAATATGCTTTGACAATATATTAAATAAATATCTAATATCAAAACTTGAATTACCACTTTTTGCGTTTTTAGTCGCCCATGGCTGCCCTGCTTATTAGTATGTTTACATTTCATTTAAATTAAATTGAGAAAGAAAATGGAATTCATGATTCCTCTTGCTTGGTGCTAATTGGTATCAAATTTTAATCTGAAATTGTGATATTTTAAAACTGAAGCATTAGTCAACGCTATAAAATTTCGCATTAATTTAAACAGGGCTGCGGTTGGTTGATACGAATTCTGCTCCCTGCTCGCACCGACCACAATGCAGGCGTAAAATATCCTCAGTAATGGGTTAGTATCCCATCACTGAGGATATTAAGATAATGGATTAGTATCCCCTTGCCGTCAAGCTAACCGTTGGAGGTTTTCATGGTTTTCCTCTTAATGTAACGCGAATGTAACGAAGGCTAGTTTGCCCCAATGCTTGATCTAGGAGTTCCCTTGTCTGCTGGGTTGGGTTCAAAATTACATTATGGAGTTGAATATTAATAGTCGTAAACTCAGATACGGATAAGTCGTTCAATGCCGGTTATAAAATAAAATAAAATCTTAGTCTAAACATAAAAGTCTTGCCACTTTTCCCTAAAAGTAGTTTTACGTCAAAACTAAATGTTAAATTTTTGCAGCAGTAATCTTAAATAAGTTGAGGCTTATCATTACCCTTTTACAATAAAATGAGGACAAAGTAAGTGGAGTTGTTAATTGTTGCTTTAGCTACCAATACACTGTTAAATATTATAACAAATTTATTAGGAAGTCAAAATAAAACTTTGCTTAAAAAATGCTTAGTGAAAATCTCAGTAAATAAACTTATTTCTCTCAAAAACCCTTTTAAAAAAAAATGAAAAACTTTTATTACCACTTTATTTTACAAAAAAATATTTTAAATAATAAAAAATATATTTTTTCAATAAAAATATATAATTAGGGGAGCACATGGCTCCCCTAATTTTTTTGAGCAGTGTATAAAGCCTTTACAAAGTATATGTAATTTTAATTTTTTATCCTGCAGTTTAAACTGGAAAAGATCTAAAAATTCTACATTGAATTTTTGAATAATTAAATTAGTTTCGAATAAAGTTGAGTTTAGAATGTGTTTAATGTTCATAAAATAAGTACTCTCAATCATCAATTTATAATTTTAATTACAATCTAAATCAATAATTATATGCTCTACTGTTAAATGAGTTGCTTTTGAATTACTAATTTCTTCTTGCCAGGGTGCGATTTAGATTCATGCATAATTTATTATGTACATTTTTGATACACAATAATGTTACTAATGTGATATTAATATTGTTTATAGTTTTCATTATTTGTTAAAAAAAAATCCTAAAAATATTATTTGTTTAAGTTTTAAAAACGGTGCAAATGTCATATTTTTTTTCTTCCGAAATTCATGATATTTTGCAAAATTTAATAAGAAACTGATATGTTAAAAATTTGGAATAAGTTAATTAGTTTTTATTGGCTTTAATTAACCAATTAAAACATTTAACTTTTAAGGAAACTTAAATTTCTCTAATTATTGTTTGTATATCCATTAAAAAAAAGTTTTACTTACGTAAGAAAACAACGTCTTGTAAAGAATTAACGGGTAAATTTGAAATCCAAATCATCAATACGGCATATAATATTCCAATCATGTTTTGTTTGTATTTTAGCAGACACTCAAAAAATTCTTACAATTTAAGTAAAAAAATTTTAACGTTAAGGAAAAACTTCACAATTGAACGAGGAAACGCCATTTATTTCAAAACATTCTCACAAAACCATTTTGGAGAACTGCTTTCTTCAAATATCGCGTGAAAAATATTTTTTAACTCGATTTGGCGCACCTGAAGTCACGTGGTCTTAACTGCATCGCCAACAGCTGTTACCGCGAAAAAGTTTAGGTTTCAATTTGTGTTTTTATTATTTGATTGTCATTTGTTTGCATAGCTGACGTTCGAATTTCTCTGGAAATCATCGGAATAAGATTACGCTTTTATTCTATTAGCGTCTAGATTTTCATAAAGTATTGGAATTTCCGTCTCCAAACAGGTAGTTTAAAAAGAAAGGGAAAACACCGAAGGAAGTTACTGATTTTTACTAAAAGAATTAATAATATTTAAACATGTCACGCAACTGAGCAATTTTAAAAATAAATTCTTAAATACTTTTGTGTTTAAAATGATAAGTTACTCACAAGTTAATTATTTGATTATTTTGGAAGAAAGGAACATGATGAACTCATAGTTTTTGATTGCTTGTGCTTGTGGTATTATTCAAACAAATGCTTTAAGAAGTCAAAAAGAAACATACCATTCAATCTCCGTACATTAATTTTGTAAATATAAATTTTGCATGAGTAAAATGTTTACCATGCCTAAAGCTTTGATCATAACTATTAAAACTCGTTAAAAGCTTTAACTTACAAAACTTTTCACACTTCTATAACTTTACTTTAGGATGAAAAAAAAACATTCGCGTTTATTTGTTTATTTGTTTGTTGCTTATTTAAGGAGAGGGATGTCATGGAAAAGTTTATTCTTATTAATATTCTTTTAGTTCCTGTTTCTTCTTTTCTGTTTTCAAATATTTTTTCTTTTCTTACCGTTCAGATGATTTTTTTTTTCATTTAAAAAAGAAATAACTAAAAATACAATAACTCATAAACGAAAATTAAAATTAAACTTTTTTTAAGAAAATTCTACATTCTGTTTTATTTATTTATTTATTTTTCATCAACTGATCTATGAACAACAATTGGATACCTGCAACTCGAGAGGAAATGAAGTGATATTACCTAACCATGTGGTTTAAATCAGATTTAATTGGATACCTATAAGCGACGTCACGTATGTGTGTCGAACCTGATTGGCTTCTGAATCGACTAATGTTAGGATACACCTGCGATGAAGTCATTTGCAAGCATCTTAATTTCTTTTTAAAAAAATTTAAAAAATAAAAAGCAATAATAAAAGACAAAAGAGACAAAAGAAAGACTTATTTATTAGCAAATGAGAGCAAATCATTTGCTAATAACAAGATAACACACAAGTAGAATCTGCCAAAGTTGCGAAAAATAAGACCAGGGCTGAAAGTTCTTATACATCAAGACGGAAAAGAACAAATACTGGTAAAAAAAAATCTTTTCAGAAAAGCTTGTTTCAGTCTTTCTGAAAACAAGTTTTCTGAATGAAAGCTTTGTTTTCAAGAATATTATAATTTGCATGACCACCAAGATTTTTTTTTTTTTTTTAAATATAGAGCTGTTTTTTACCCAAAAATTAATAACGCTGAAATAACAATTGAGAATATAGTTAAAAATAGTAAAAGCTTATTTGTTTCTTATCGAAAAACTGTAATAAAAAGTGGCAGAATTACCAGTTCTTTTTCTTTTAGCTCAGATTTATACAGTATATGCACCTCCTTAAAACACATTTAAATACGTTGTTAAGTATTGTAAGAGGGAAAAAGAATATTATAGCACGCTCAACGCATCTATGCATTTTAAAGACTCTATACACATCAATATAACTTCACGATCAGGATTGATAAAGCTTTAAATAATGGCAGGAAATACAATTTTCAGTAAAACTTGTGTAAGTTGACCACTTGTGGTGCATTGCTTTAGTGGTCAACTTAGACATGTGGTCAACTTATAGAGGGGTTGGGTCATTGTTTACTTTTTCGTTTCCTATATCATGTTGCTATATATTTATTTTTTTACTTGATTCAGAAAATATGCAAATGAATATCTTAAGAAATGTGTTTAAACCTGAATGAACTTCAATTTGATACATATAATTCTAATATTTAACTAATTTTTTTGAAAAAAATTATTTTGTTAGTCATGCATGGGAAGTGCTTAATAAATATAATTTCTTAAAATATCAGAACACGAAAACATGTAATTTGAAAACTTTAACAAAATAAAATTATTTGAACACTTTAAAATTTATTTACTACACTTAAAGATCAAAGACCATAAATAAAGGATCAAAGCATATTTCAGAGCATTCATTTATTCAAATGCTCACTATTGCAACTGGAAGAGCAACTTTTCAACTAACACACCTGTTTTCAATGAACGGATGAAAGAAATGGTCAAAAGCTGACCCCTTACAGTTTCCCCTGATGGTCAACTCACAAAAGGGTTTAGATTAGCTTTTTACACTATTTCACCAAACAAGTGAAATTTCAACATACATTGCAAAAATGACAGAAAATTTTCTGATTTTCTTTTTTCTGGTCAACTTATGAGGGTTTTAGAATAGAATTTCATAATACTCCTAGACAAAATTGACTTATTTCAGTGGTCAACATACAAGATAGACAGGTTGTCAAGCTACAAAGGTTTTGCTTCTTTATATTAAAAATTCCGTTCTTGATAATTGAGGTCAACTTATGCAGGTGCCCAACTTGCAAGGGTGGTCAACTTGGCAGGTTTCACTACTAGGAAATCTGGAACATATAAACAAACGTAAAGTCGTAAATACGATTAAAAAAAATTTTTAAGTAATTATAATTAAAGCAATTTTTTTCAGTTTTTACATGCAAATTCGAACTTTCAATTTTTAGCATTTTTTAAATATCGTGGTTATTTCTTGCAGCGTATTTTTTTTTTACATTTTGGTCGTAAAACACAATCCATAAGAATGACATAATAAAATATTTTCATACCTTTCTTATAACTTTTCATCTTATGAACAATTATAACTTACAATTTTTATCACTTTTTACAAGTCGTAGGATATTTTTGCTGTGTATTTTTTTCATATGTTTGGTCATAAATTTTTTTTTTATAAGAGTGAAATAATAATTTATATGCTATAAAATTGCCCAAAAGTTTGCTTTAATGAAATTTTTTTCCTTTCTTCTAATTTTTCATCATACATAGAATTATAATTTTTTTCTTTTTTTTTTTTTATATTTTGTCATAAAACACAATCTATACGACTGAAATAATAGGATACGTCATAAAACAGCCCCAAAATTTGGTTAAATGAAATTTCGTACCCTTCTTATAATTTTTCATTATAATTTAAAATTTCTTCGAATGAGGATAAAACTAACTATATTTTTTAGTAGACAATCGCTTTGTTAATGCATACAAACAGAAAAAAATTCACAGATTATTTTTTTATGCGATAATATAAACTAAATATTGTCTAATATATACAGATGTATAAGCTGACGTCACCTCACTTACCTGTACTTTGGAAATCCATCAATAATCAATTAGTTGCAGATGCAACCAATAGGAATACGTTTCTAATGGGACAGGAATACGAATCGTCCAATAGGAATAGTGTAATCGAAATAGGTTAAATGATAGTGGAACACTGATCGTATCCTGGCTCTGACTTGAATATCTCTATTAGACGCTGAGTCTCATTCGAAATATTGCAAGTTTTAAGTTTTTGATTTATAAGTAAAAGCTGATTTCAAAAACTTCTCTACTTACAAGTTAATAATTTGGAACCGAACTGAATAAAATATTTGGGTAACTCAAACCGCTTTTGGCCCTTGACCCATTAATTTTGATCTTGATTTATGTAGTGGATCGATGAGGTGGTGGGAATGCAAATGTAGTAATATATTTAAATCTAATCTTAGAGCATAATGCTTCTTCTTTTTTTTTTTTTTTTTTAATTAAGCTACAGTGGTAGATAACAGAAAAAATACCCACTTGGTGCAGGATTGCAACGGTTCCGAAATTTTTTGCAAGACTTAAGACAGTTGAGAAAAATATAGATGCTAAAAGTAACTCTAAGAGTATTTACTAAACACTTTTATTTTCAATTATAAAGGAAATACGTACACCACAGATGGCAAATTGCTCCGCTTTGTCATGAAGTAATTTCTAATGGTAACGAAATTTAAGATATTTTTAATTTTATATTTTTCATGTTAATTTATTTTTTCACCACTACTTGTTCAAAATTCACAGTGTGATATAAAATATAATTTTGTAGCAAATCATCTCGTGGTAATACTTCTAAAGAGTATGTGTAATTATCCTTATTCTAAAGTTTAACTACTTAATTCGCTAAATATTTATTAAAAATTTTGCGAAAAGCGAAGGTATTGGTATCGATGCATACGACACAGGTGCAAAAACCTTGGGGAATGTTCTGCAATGCTCAGGCAAAGCTAATTGTTAGTAAAGTTGTTTGTATGTAATGGCGTAAAAATCATTACAGATTAAATCTATTAAATCAATAATAAAATATTAAATCATAAAATTTACTACTACTCTAAATATTAAAAGTCCCGCAGTGGACTGATCGTTAATACACGGTTCCCAGCAGATCACCGATGTCAAGCATCACTGGCTGCGGTCAGTGTGCGGGTGGGTGACCACTCGGATCAGCCTGCGCAAGGACCGAGGATGTGCGGTATTGGTCCTCCATAAACTGTTCTACCGTAAAGTGCTCGACTTCGCGTGCAGGTCGTCGGGTTACCGAAGCGGGGGTGTCATCCCCTCCGCAGATAATCAAAATTGTGATGGCATGTCTTCGGATCATCCTCAGGAGTGTTTTCCAGACCGTCGCCAATAGCCCATTGTGCAGCTCTAGTGCGACGTAAATGAACAACAACAACAACAACTAAATATTAAAATGAAATGTCCCGATAAATCGGAACAAATTAGCTTGCGTGTTTTTATCATGCCATTTATCTCAGTTGCGTTAGGGTTCAGGCTCTTTCTTATCACAAATGTCCGCTTGTGTGTTCTACATTTACTCTGCTAAGGCTCATATCAAGTTAAGCCAGATGTGCTCAAACCAGAGATTATAGTTTTTAAATTTTCCCCCGATTGCGACCACTCTGTAAATATATAGTTGCTACTCTTAATTACAGCTACATTTGCATATGGCTTTTGGAATTTTTGTTGACCTTTAAAAGCTACCCACCAATTCTGTAAAATTAGGTTATTTTGATCTGTGGGTAATTATTAAGAGTTACAATAGGAGGGAAAGAAGAGACAATTATTTATTACCTGAAAGTAATATTATTCCTTTTTTATTTAATTTTAGTTTATTCTTTTTAAATGAATGTTTAAACGCAGCTAAAAAGAGAAAAATTATATTTTTATTGATTATATGTAGAATTAATACTGCTATCATTAAGAAAGACTGCTATTGCAATTGTTTCATACCCTGAAAAGAATGCCAACATACTGCGGGATGATTTAGTATAGTGGTTACAATTACACATCTTGAGGATTTAGAATCGCATAGCAACTTTTGTTCTGAAATGCTATTGTACGTCGCTAGGTGCTCTTGCCCATTATAAACTAAATGTTTATGCTCCTTCGAAATGGTAATTTTATTTATTTAAACTTTATGAATTTCATATTATTTGAAGTTTTCTAGTATAATCAAAAATGGATTCTAATAGGTCAATATCTCGACGGCAAAAACATTTTAGAAGCTTTTTTTTTTCCTAAATAATAACACAATGAAAAACAGACATTCCTCTCACGTGTAGTACGAAATTGTTCAGTAGACATTGAATATTTTCATGTCGTCTAAGGAAACATCTACCATTTATAGGGAAGTTTCCGCGCATCATTAATATTTTTTTATAATGTCATCAAATTCTTAAAACGCCCTACTTAGCGCAAAAATTATTAAAAATTTCATTTTACAAATAATATGCAATTTATTGATTTCATTTTAACAGAATTAAATTTTTGCTAAAGCTTTCAAAAGTCAAACAATTAGTAAATCTTCTAGGAGAATAAATCTGTGGGGAGAGTTAAATTCGACCATGGGGTGGAGTTATCGACTATGCCAACCTTCATCTATCAAAAGGTACCTCGTGATTGAACCAAGTTAACATGTCTTACATACTAGTGTATTGTAGTTGTAATTTTGTAGTGGTAGATACGCTACAAATCAATAGCAAAGACTAGAGAATCTTCAAATGAGGATAGGGCTTACTTTGTATTACGTATGAATAAAGCAAAACAAAGCGAATAAAGCACAAATAAAGATGGAGAAATGATAAATTGACGTTTCGTTCTATAAAAAAGAATAATCTCAATAATACTGAAATGATCTGCTAGCCTGTATGTTTGAATCTTTTTCAAATTGACAACCAAATCACAAAGAAACTTTTTTCACTGCAAACAAAAAATGCCGCTGCTCAACTGACCCCTTGAGCAGCAGTAGTAGTTTATTTACGAGTCATTAGAAGAGCTGTACAATGGACTATCGACGAACGTCTGGGAAACATCCCTGAGGATAATCCGAAGACATGCTTTCACAATTTTGACCCTCGGCAGACCGGTTTCAGTAGCACGTGTTCTGTACCTGCGTGTGAAATCGAGCATTTCACCTTAGAAAAGTTCAACTAGTGCCAATACCACGCACCCTCGGTCCCTTCACAGGCCAATCTAAGAGGTCACCCACCATCACTCTGACCGAAGCCAGTGTTGCTTCACTTTGGTGATCTGCTGGAAACCGTTTATCAACGATCAGTCCATTGTGGGACCTGGGCCTATGAGATTCTCCAGTGATAAACTCACCAAACAAGTTCTCGGTGGCGATCGGAGGGACGTAAATTACGTGTAATTGAAATGCTTCGTTAACCGTTAAAAATCCGCTAATAAAGTTCTAGTTCGTTCTAAAGAGTTCGTCTTCATGTCACGGCGTTTTTTAAAAGGCCATTCTCACTGCATGCAAAATTATCGCATAAATGAATTTGGAGATGTGATTAGGAATCTAATGGCGAGTTTTGTTCGGCTTAATGTATTTAATCAATCAGATTCACGTTCGCATTCGCTAATTTTTTGCTTGCTCTGAGAATAGTCCTTCAACATCACAAAGAAAAAAGTATTCAAGTGTGCCATTCTTACTCCATCCAACATACACATGCAATCGTTTTCCAATTCATTTACAGCAATGTGGGTGAAGTTTCCCGCACATGCAACTTTTCAAAACGCCCGCTATAGCATGTAGGGAAATAAAATATAAGGAAAATGGTCCTAAGGAACATTGCTACGAAATCCAGTCATTTATGTGGTCACTTTCACTTGTTGTGATTTCTTCGCATTAAGCGAGAATAGTCATTTTATATGTATATTATAATTGAGTTTAATTTCAGGTTTGGCAACATCATTTTATATGGTAAGTATAGTTCGAAAAATCTGGCAATCATCTAATAGACGTCTGCCGTAAAGGAAAGGCGTTGGTCATATGGTTTTTTATTTATTAAATATTACAAACCTGTCAAAGTGTCAAAATTTCTCTAAAAAGGATCTAAATAACAAAATAAATTCTTATCAAGATGGCTGCAAGCTTTGATCCCTATGATAAACACAGGTTTGTTTTAATGATGGGAATGATGCACCTATGGTATTTCGGGAATGTGACTAACCGGTTTCTTTTTTCATGGATTAGGAAAAACCTAGACATAAGCCTAAATTGTTTTTTAAAATATTTTAAAATTGGATTTAGGATTTATATATTAATTTCAACTATCTAAATCATCTAAATTGTGAAATCATTTGCCTGTTTCTAAAATTAAACTACAATTTTAGCTTAACTTGACACATTTCATCAACATTTGTCCACAGCTTTTTTTTAAGTATAAAATAAATTTAAAATGCAGGTTTATATTATTTTCTTTTTATTAATAAATATACATTATCTATTATACCCGGTTAGTTAAACTACGTAGTATAATCAATATGTTATTTAGTCATGTTATTTACATCAATGGTAATGGAAAAAAATTGTACATTTATGAATTCATAAAAATTTGATTTATATATCAAAATTATTCACGCATTTTAACTAATAAAACTAGTACATAATGTTAGTGGTTTCTCTAAATCAAGTATTGAATTTATTTCTGTTATTACCAATTGTTGAATGGGAAATTAAGTTGTATGCCTATGTTTATTAAGCTGACAACTAGTAATTATGGTAGAGGAGGAATATACCACGTTTTTCATAGACGCCTATCATTAAGTACAATTTGTTGGTGTCAATTTCTTTCCTTCTGGAGGAGCAAAATTACCATGAAATGTGTTTGCAAAAAATATATATATAGGATGACCCGGGGTAATTCATGATCACTTTGTTTCTGGGGTAAATAATGATCACTTAAGTTTTATTTTAAAAAAATTATTTTTTTTTAAATTTGGGACATGGACAAGAATGCTTGTACACTTTACTAAAGTATAACTACATTTACTTAATAATAATTTTTTATTTAATCTAACAGAATAAGTATCTTTTAAACTGCTTTCTGTATTTTCCATTTCAAAGATGGGTTTCAAAATGTGCACATTTCTGCAAAGATCCCCCTCCTTCTCTTAATAATAAATATTTTGAGTTACTTTCTTTTTCTTTGATATAAAAATAGTGTAAGCTTTTGTTTAATTGTTTCACATCTACTGTAAACATTATAATTGATTATAGGAAACTATATCAAATGTTGCCCCCCACAGATGGGGTGGTTATTGATCACTGGGGTAATTCCTGATCATTGTAATTTCTTCTTATAAATAGTATATAAAATTACTTATAAATAGCTAATTGTCTTTTCTTAAATAACAGTGCATATTTATTAAGTGGAATTTTTGTTTTGAACAAAATTTGTTTTTAACTGTATACAACACTGTATTCTGATTTACACCATTTCTGGTTTGTCTTACCTTGCTTCTATCTTAATTTTATGTGTGTACATCATTAGAATAATTTTTAAGTTTAAATTTGCCTAGTATAAATGTTAGAATAATTTTTAAGTTTATAAATTAGCCTAGTATAAATATGATGAGAAATTATAAGCCTAAAAAGGATACTAAGCTTTTAGAAACCAAAATTAATGAATTTCTTTTAATGATTGAAAATTAAAATTTCAGTGTGAGAGCTGCTGCCAGAGCTGTTGGCATACCTTACTTAACTTTACACTTTCCCTTAATGAAGTTAAAAAATCTAGCAAAAGTAACCTATGTGGGAACTCTCTTATATTTCAGAAGAACATGAGAATGAGTTGGCTGATTGCCTAAAATGTATGGCATGATGCAAAGAGTTTTGAAAACTTAAAGCATTAATCCTTCTTGCTTTTAAAGAAATCATTTTATTAGCTGCTTAAACATATCTTTTTGGTTTATTTTTTTATCTTGATGTCTTATTTGTTAATTACCATTATATAATTATTTTCAAACAGCCCCTTTACAATTAAAACTGGTGATCAGTAATTACCCCAAAAGTGATCAGGAATTACCCCAGAAATGATCAAGACCAGGTGTAATTCCTGATCACTAAAAATTTAAAATATTTTAAATTCTAATTAGATTTTCAAACAAAAGAAGTTGGCATAGGAATCTCATATAGCGTCAAACTTCCAGTAAATATTAAAATTCTATTTTGAATAGTTTTTTCACAAAATAGATGTTTGTGTTTTTTGATCAGGAATTACCTCAGGTCACCCTATATATTAAGTAAAAAATAAGTAATCCTACACATTTTCTGTAATAAAATTAATCTATGCACAGTCTAATAGAAATTTAGTTAACTTATACACTGATCCATAACTATAAGGTTACTCTCTGTTTGCATGCTTTTATTAGATTTTTTTTTTAATAAGAAGTTAATGAAGAAAATTTTAATTAAAATATATGCTACAGAAAATGTGTGATCTTCATTATTATGAAGAAATATATAAGATAACACAAACTAGACATGGAACTAAGAACAAAAACAGATTACGACTTTTAACATTAACTGCTGATCCCGGGAGACTACTGTTAATTTATTTTATAGTTTTCTAAGTCAAATTTTAATGGTCCAGACCACTATTAACCTTAAACCTGTAAGTTCTAAATTTTCTCAATAAAATATTGAGTACTTATTCATATGCTAGTTATCAGACTTAAATCTCATTAAGTTTTTGAAGCAAAATGGTAAACCATACAGTAGTCTGAAAGAAAGTTAAAAACGCATCACAGAAAAAAAATTCTTAAAGAATTAAATTTACATCCATTTCTGGGCAAGTTATAACTTGATATATTCTTTATTTACTAAAAGAACTTAAACCGGGCAATGAATCCTTTGCAATCACAGTCGATTTTATTAGGATCTGATATAAGAATTGTACTGAATCTAAATTACAGTTGACCAAAGTAAAAAAATTGGTATACCACTTAATATCACCTGTTACTTTTGCTCTATGAATTACTTATGTGTATTTTTCTTTTATTTTTAAATCCTTGATTGCTCCCACTGACATGCCAAAAATCATATAACAGCAATATTCAGATGGCGTTTGCATTGTATTATGTTTAAGTAGCCAGTACATTGAAAGGGCTTTCATTCGAAGCCCAAGACATATGTCTTATTGTTGTGTACGACTTAAACCCGAAATAATAATAGTTGAAACAACATAGAATTTCTGAAATTGTAATAAAATTCAACATTTCTCGATCCACAATTGTAAGAGTGTGTGTGGAAAACTTACTTTTGGGTGGGTACTTATTTAACATGCTCAGACTTATTGCCTGTGCTTATTCACTGAGACTAATAATGCATACTTAGAGTTGTGAGTGTTACCACCGATTGCACCACTGAATGGTATTACTAACAAGAAAAGAAAAAAAAATTCACGAAGAAAATAAACAATTTTTTATAAATTTTTCTCAGTAAATAGTTCAGTAAAATTTGGCTTCGCTAAATTAATTCAACAAAATATAGTCTAGAATACCGATACTTACATTATACTTCATTTTGTTGAAACTCCAGGTACCATATTTATGAAAAATAAAAAAAATAATTAAAAATTAATTCCAAAATAAAATGTTTTTTCCTTTAAAGATCCTTAGTTTCATTTCCTATTTGGAGGCCACATAACCTCTTCAAATATTTATTAAATTTATAAAAAATTAAACAAAATTGTAGTTTGCCTTAAATTTTTTTTTTTTTAAAATTATTTTTGATCAATCAATCAAAGACACTAAATGCAATGAAAACCATCTAAGCATAGCAGTTATGTTTGTAATATCCATCAATAAATTTTAAACTAAAACTGAGAGAAATTTATGAAGTTATCGAGATGCGTTATCTTAAAAAACAATATTACAGTACAGAACCTCTTATCCGGAAATCAGAAAACCGGAACGAAATTCAATACATTTTCCTACAATTTTTTTTAAAAAAAAAAATAATTTTTTTTTCCTCAAAAGATTTCAGAATTCTTTCTTTTTTAAAAGATGTTTACACTCATTTTAAAAATAATCATTAGTTTCTACAATGTGAAAAGAAGTATGAGTTTTTTAAAATTATTCTAAATATATATATATATATAAATTTTAGTTGAGTTTGACAATAAAAAAAAAGCTTTTTGTAGCGATTCTGAAAACCGGATAAATCAGATATCCAGAATGGTCCCGATCGTTCCAGTTCTCTACTGTATTATGTAAAGTTAAAAAATCTTATTCATTGTAAAATTTTATGAAATCCTACACTGTATTGCAAGGGAAAACAAAAACTGAGATTGTCCATGGGTGCTGCAAACCCTAGCTATGCCTCTTCAGTATGGAGTCAAATTTTAAAGCATTCCTCAAGCTGGTAGTAGATCAGAGACTGTTTAGATTGCTTTTGCATGCTAAGGGATTATGAAAATGGAATAATCATTAAATCACATGATTATATTCAGTTACTTTGAGCTTTTCAAGGACTTCATTTATCTTTATGAAGCTATGATTTTCTTGGATGACAGTGTTACTTGTCACCTGGACCACATTTAGTATAATTGTATAATTAAATCTATTTTAATGATTTTGGGGAAAACACATCACTGCCTGAAAATATTTTAGTAGGAGTATTTACATATAATTATTTTTTGTAACAGGATGATTTTATCTGCTGCCTAAAAGAGATTTAGTTTGATTCAAACAGGAAATAATGTCCATAAATTTATTTTTTAACTATATTACCTTCTAAAAAGTTTTAATTTGTGTAATATTTTGTTTGGTAGAAATTTTTTTTTGATTTGTTTACTAGTTTTATCATTAGGAATATTAAAGTATTTTCATTTTAATGGGTAATAAAACATATTTTCTTGTTGAATTCAAATAATTTAAACTAGATTTTTTAAAATGTTTTTTTAATATTTTTAAGGGCATTTAAGACTACTGAAATTTAAATGAAATATAAAAAACAATTAGAAGAATGGAAAGCATGATTTTTTAAAAACTTTTTTGGTTTTAAAAGTTATCCACTACGAAATTATAGGGGAGATTTCCGTATCGTGATCTGTGGCAAAATAATCGGCAAGTCTTGGCAACTTCCGGGCAGCAGCCCTCAAAAACTAAAAGAAACGTCACAGAAAGGGACTAACTCAAAAGGTATAACTAGAGAGGCCAACTTGCTCTACTTTGTAAAAAATTATTTTCGAGTGGTAACTAAATTTAAGTTATTTTTAGTTAAGTATTTTCCATTTTAAGTAATTTTTTCACCACTGTATATTAAACTCACAGCATCATATGAAACGTAACTTTATTGCATGGTGGCACTTTTAAAGAGCAGGCATAATTATCCTATTTCTACAAGTTTTATTATTTAATTGGTTGCCAATTTATTAATACTAATGCAAAGAGCAGAGCAGTTGGCATTTTTGTATAACTCTATGAGTTTTTGTTTTGAAAAAAATCGCTAGTTTAAAATCTACTATGACACCTTAGCACTTGAAGTTGGCACGGCAGATTACGATATGAAAATATCCCCAAATTATATCTAGTTGAAATTCAATAGTCACAGGAATCTGCTGTTTTTAATACTGTAATAATACTGTGCTTTACCTTTAATTTTGTTTGGTGGTTTTCAAAATACATTATATTCTTGCAGCTGGTATTTTGGACCATTGACAAGGCAGGAAGCAACTGATATACTGTTGGGTGAAATAGAAACTGGTGTTTTTCTTGTCAGAAATAGTGCAACTATTCATGGAGACCTTGTTCTTTGTGTTAGGTAATTTAATAATTATATAATCTTTTAAATAAGATTATTAAATTTATTTGCACCTATAAATAAATCTAATAATTGTATTTATTAGTGGAAATTAAAAAATCTTTAAACTTATAATGGTTTTTCATGTGTGGCATGAAATTTATATTTGTATGACCATCAATTTCATTTGCTGAATCTTAATGTTTAAAGTTTTATTATTGTGAAATATATAGCCTTTTATCTTTATTACCAAGTTAAAGTGATTATTTAAATGAAAATTTTTTTTTTTATCTAGTGAGATTACATGGTTTTGTAGCATTTTTGAAAAGTGCTTAAAGGTGCTTATTTTCGATTTTTGTTTTTTAAAAGCCCTTAAAGTTGCTTTTTTCGTTGGGTGTTTTTTAAAAGTGCTTGATATTCTATTTTTGAAAAAGATATTTTTTCTTTACCATGTTGATTTTTGGTACAACATTTAGTTTTCACATTGTTCTATTCGACGTTTTCACAATTCATTCAACCACTAGCCGTTTTGGTCTATCATCGGTCCATAGCATATGAAAACGGCAATCATTTTACATGTTTTATGAAATACTTTCAAATTCACATATGCGTCTACTAAGCTGAGTTCGGTGAGATTCTAGCACTCTCATATGTAATTGCTGCATTTTGCTAGATATTCTCAAGGGCTTCATTTTCCACCCTCATTTTTCGAACTAAAAAATCTCTCGTTCTTTTTATGGTGGCTGATATAATCAAGAAAAGAGTTCTTTGTCAGAAACTAGTTATTTTATCATGATTATGTAAAGTCTTTAAAAATTATTTTGCGTTTTGTTAATGTATATAATGCTTAAAAATATTTTTTAAGTGCTTAATAAGCAGGGGTCTGTCCAGGGAAATTTACTGCCATTTAGCGGTACTTTCCCAAATTCAATTTTAGGAAAAACGGTAGTTTTGCAAAATACTTTTAACATATTTTCAAAAAATATTTAAATATTTTTGAAAATATTTTCTTATTTTACCTTATTTTTGTGTTGATTTTTGTTATAATATTTAAATTTCGCAAATTATGACTAAATTTTCACAAAATGTACCTATAAAAAAAAAAAAAAAAAAAAAAAAAAAAAAAAAAAAAAAAAANAAAAAAAAACAGACAGACACCTGATAAGCACTTATAAGGTGCTTATTTTTTTTTTGAAAGATTTGGCTATGCACCTTGGATTAGTGTAATTTAAAATAAATAAATATGTTTTTTAATTTTTTTCATGGGGATATAAAATTCATAAATGTATCAGATGGTCAGTTTATGTTTGGTATACTTTCAATTTGTGAAAAATCAAGTTTTTTTCTAATATCTTTATTCCATGTAAACTAAATATTTATTAGAGCGAATATTTTTGTACAATCAACTAGTTAATATTGAATAAAAAACTATGACATTGTTTTAATTGTAATATTTATGCATTTTCTAATCTTGAGTTTTTTACACATTGCAGAGAAGACAGTAAAGTAAGCCATTATATTATCAACAGAGTTCAGCAAGATGATCAGACGAGATTTAGAATCGGAGATCAAATGTTTCCAGATGTACCATCTCTCTTAAATTTCTACAAATTACACTATTTAGATACTACTCCATTAATTAGGCCTGTAAGTGTTTTCACTATTTGTTTTGAAATTGTATTAAAAAAGAAAAAAAAGTTTTGCATTTTTGTTAAAGGTTTACTTGATTACATTAAAAAATTTCAGACATTCTAAACTAATTTTAGTGATAATTTATAATTGCTTTTTTATTGTTTAAGACTTAAATGGATATTTTAGGATTATAAAACTCTAGATTTGCATGAAAGTTATTTGATGCAGAATATTGCATAGTTTGAATGTTATTTTGGATTAAAATTTGTATTGATTACAGAATATTTATTTCAGAATAATTTAAAATATAATATTAATGGTTCTATTTTATGAATTAGAAACATTTAAAATGTCATTCACTATCTTCATATCTATAAATTGCACATTATTTTGCCTGTTCATCTATATGAACTATTTTTTATTTATTGGGCAAGATCTATCATCTCACTAATTAACTTATATTAATCATTTAATAAATTATATTTGTTTTTAAATTTTATGTTTCTTTCAAGCATTTTTTGTGCTTTTTTTCTTCAGAAAAATGAATAAATCAAAGTTTATTTAAATTTCTTAGGATCTTATTTCCTAAAATTCCAATTAGACAATTCATATGAAAAGAAAAAAAACTTTTCTAATATGTTATTGTGATCACACTCTGTATTATCCATGTTTTTTTTTTTCCCTCTGAGAAAAAAATTATTTAATTGCAGTTACAACTGCTAATAATAATTTGGGAAATAAAAAATATTAATTTGAGAAACTTTTTTTTTATTTCAATTTTTATAAGCATTTAATTGATATAAATTAAAGTTACATCTAGTGATGAAATGACCCCATTGGACCTGAAACAAAAGCAACCAAACATTAAAATTATTCACTGCAGTTAATATATATACAGTTTAACTTTCTAAAACGTAAACAAAGAAAAATTTGCATACTTCGTATACTCTAACTGGGAAATCTTCAGGTTAAAGTTAGTTAACTCTAGATCGAAGTGATAAACAATTATGTTCATAGTGAATTGAAATTTTGGAATCTAACCTGGTGTTTCTCTTGTAAAGCTTGTTTTGAACTGTGACTCAGGGTTAGTTTACATCATGAATTCAGGTGGAACTTTTGTTTGGAATTTGAATAGATTTAATAAAGAATAATCAAAAGTCGTATTTATTACTATACATTATTAGAAGCAGTTTCTACACATATTTAAGTTCTGAAACTTACATAGGGCTTGCAAATTTATGTTATGGAAGACAAATGGAAAAGTGAAATTTGATTAATTTACACTAGATTAGTTTACTGAACAACTAGTTTTGAACAGCTGATTTTCATTTTTTATTACATTCAGGCGAGACAATTTTGTCGTTTATTTTCTTCATCTTTTTGTTTTAAGAATTGTGAAAAAAAATTTTGGTCAATTTTAATGGAGCATTACTGATAAAACTTATTCTTATATTGTTGCTTTTTTCTCTGTATGGCAGATAGATAACAGGTAACATAAAAAACTGTGATTTTCAACATCAAAGTTATATTTTAAAAACTAAGAACAATTTTTTTTCTGTTTCTCTTTTGCCTTTTTCTATTAACTTTTCTTTTTATCAGTGTTTTTATTAAGACGCAGCATTTTTATAAAAGTGCTTCTATTTGACTTTATACTTTTATCATCACTTTTTTTTCTAAAAATACAGCTATGTGAAAAAGCATAGTTGAAATTTTTAGTGTTAAATTTTCTAGTTTAAAAATTAAGAAAGATTTTAGTTTTGGTTTTTATCTAGTTTTTTATTTTTTATAAAACTTGGTTTTTTACCGATGTTTTTGTTATAACGCAACAAATTTTTATTAAACTTATTTTTTTTAAAACTTTTTCTTAATTCAGCAGTTGGAAAACTGAGATACTCATCTTAAAATTTTCCATTGAGAATTAAGATTGATTTGTATTCTGTTTGTATTGCTTTTATATATAATCTTTTATTTTTATGATAACACAGTATTTTTAAAAGCATTTCTGATAGATTATATTTCTTTTAACGTTTTATGGATACCTTTTTCTAGAAAATATTATTTTTAGCATTACAGTTTTATTTTAAAAATTAAGAGGATTTCCTTTTTTTTTCTAAATTTCTTTTTTTCAATTTTTTTTTTCATTCTTTCTTGCTTAGTTTATTTATATGTATAAACATAAAAAGCCTCAATTAATCTTTTTATGCTATTCCTTTATCTAAATCTTAATTAATTTTGATTGTTTTTTCTAATTATGATGATTTTTTTATTATTTTAGGCTCCTAAAAAACTTGAAAAAGTTAGAGCTAAATATGATTTTGATGGAAGTGTAAGTATTTGTACTTTTAGAGTAAATTTATAAAATAGTTATTACTGTCCTGTTCGATAAATTTTCTAAATTTTATATGCAGTTTAGGTTGTGAATTATTATTTTTAATGTTGTAGTTGTTTGTGTACTTTAATTTTTCAAGTATATCTTTCAAGATTTTAGTTCATGTCTAAAAAAGAACTATGCAGTTCAATATTGCCTTATAATTATTTTAATAGTATATGATGTTAGCAAATAGAAACCAAAATTATTCACGCTATTTCTTTAATCAAATTTTACTTTAAGAAATCAAAAATCGAACTTCTGAAATTTCGAGATATGGAAATATCTTTTAAGTTACAGTGCCATTATGTAACTTGTAATAATGGTTGTTTTTGTTACATTAGCTGTTATAATATATTTTTGCATTCACAATGTGCATTACTTACTATATCATTGTTGTCATAATTATCTGAAAATTAAGAGGAATTTGGATATATTTCCCTCCCAAAGTTATTTTCTATCTATATCAGTTTTGTTAACAAGGCATAATTTGAAAGAGAATGGAAAAAAAAAAACATTTTAAAATTGCTAAACTTTTATGTTTATGGAACACATACATGACATTATGATAAGTAAATTTTATCAAAATCTTTTATATCACCTTCAGCTAGTTGTAGTTTGAAGGAAAATCTTCGTTAAAATTTTTTTTTAAATTAAGACTGAATTAAAATTAATGCTAGAAAAAAACTTTGTTAAATGACTTTTAAATCACCTAAAACTGTATTTAAAAAAGTTTATAATTCTTTAATTTATATTTCTTACGTTGTTTTCTTCAGGATCAGGTGCAAACAAATTAGCCTTAATTGTTTTTCTTGTGTGCTATTTTAATTTTTGAAAAAGTTTCGTTACAAAAGTTATTTTTAATTTCACTACAAAAAGTAAAGACAGTTTAATTAGTACCACTCAATTCTTTCTAATTAGCATGGATTAATTTTTTTTCCGCTTTAAGACGGAATTCCGCCCCCCCCCCTCAATTTAATAAAAGGAAAATGTTCTCTTTATCAAGAAAGTTCTGCTTTTTCGAGTTCTATTCCCCCCTCAGAAGAAAAGACTACTCTTTCTTCTATGTAAGCGTGATTTAAAATTATTCACGCAACACAGTGCCACTCCTATTCACGTGATTTAAAATTACCTATCACTATTCGTATTCACTAGATTTAAAATTACTCATCGCGATACTTATTCATGTAATTAAAAAAATCTCACATCAAGATTCTTATTCACGCAATTTAAGAAGAAGAAAAAATTGCGCATCGCTCGCACTTTGCGATTCAAATTCACACTATTTAAAAGTACACATTGTAATACTTATTCTCGGAGTTCAAATATTATGCACCGTGTTCTGTTCTTATGAGATTTTACACATAGCCTATTCAAATTCATGTAATTTAAAAACATCCCAGCGAGATCTATATTAACGAAATTTAACAATCACACACTGAGATTTATATTCTTATAATTATATATATAATAAACAGGGGTCGCATTCCCCCTAAAATTCATAAAATTCCTAAAACTATGTGCAAACCCTAAAATTCCTAAAAATCTGATAAAATTTTGTTGGTGTTCCTAAAAAATTAGAGTTATAGGCTAAATATAAATAAAAAAGCAATAATCTAAAATATAAGAATTTAACTACATTAATTAAAACTGTTTTAATTTTGCCACATGGGAATTCTGATCCTGAGAGAGGTTTTTCGATAAATAAATCAATGCTTAATGTGAGTCACCATGAGAATACTATTATGTCTCTTAGACTAATCAAAGATACCATTCGAAATTATGGAGGGGTGTTGAAGATCACCACAACACTATTGAGGGCATTAAAAGAATCTCACAAATCATATCAAGAATATATTAGAAAAATGATCATGATTAATTTGTTTTTCTCTAACTTCTAATATAAATTGCTGATTTGAAATCTAATAATATCACACAATAGTTTTTCTTAATAAAGTGAGGTAAAGGGTAATAATAAAGTTTTGATTAAGAAGGTTAGAATTAATTAAAAATCCAAGTTGGTGTTAATTTATTTTTTCTCGTGATTTATTCTCACTTTTGCCTGTTCCTGAATTATGCACTTAGTTTCTGATAGGTAATATGTAAAGTTGAAATTTCATTTTTACACTTTAGAGATTTCATTCTTGACTTAATAAATTTCAGAGCTTTATTTTATGGCTTGCAATTATTTATGATATGTGTGGATGAATTGTAATAATCTTCAGTTATGTAATAAACTACCGTGTGATCTGTTTTTATCCTAGCAAAATAATATATTACCCCTAAAATTTACCTGAAATTTTTTGAAAAAAGTTCATAAAATTACCCTAAAATTTTAAAAAACTTTGCTGCTACCCCTGAATAAAAAAAAAGAACGTGCATCGATATATTTAATTATAACGTTGATAATATTCTTCCTATTTGCAATTTTTTCTTGCACAAATTTCAGGTATTTTTACAATTTTTCAAAAATATGTTCATCACATAAGTTTTCATTATTCTATTTTCATCATTTTTGATTTTTTACCAAACTCATCCTTGAATTACTTGAAATTTAGAAATTTGACTTTTCTGTAAAGTATTTTTCTTTTTAAAATTAATGTCTCAATTAATTGTGCTGCAAACATTGTAACTTTTTTCATACCTTTCTTGTTTGTGTACTTTTTAGGGAGATCCTGATGACTTACCATTCAAAAAAGGAGAAATACTTACTGTAATTTCAAAAGATGAAGATCAGTGGTGGACAGCTAAAAACAGTTTAGGACAAACTGGATCTATACCTGTCCCATACATTGAAAAGGTAATGGTATTTTCGACCAGTTTTAGAATTAGTTTGCAACTGAGTGTTGTTTAATTCTTTTGAGCACGATACATATTTGAATTTTACCTGGTTACTGTTTTTTTCCATTTCCTTATAAGAGAACAACTCTGATAAAACTTGTATTATTTAGAACAGTAGATATAAATCACATGTCTCAAATTTTTCTCATGTTTTATATTTTATAATTGTCGTTAACCAGCCGGCCCAATTTTTGGGTTTAGGACTATTAATGTTCAACTACGTAGCCTTGTAATTTTGAACTCAATCCAGAAGACAAGGGAACTCCTGTATCAAATATTAGGAGAAACTTGCCTTTGTGTAGGACTTTTTGTTTAAACTTACTCGCATTTGTATTTCATAGAGAGGAACACCAAGAAAACCTCCCACGGTTAACCTGGCGGCAAGGGGACTTCAACCCATGATCCGTCTACTACTGAGGATATTTCACGTCAGCACTGTGGTCAGTGCAAGCCAGATGCAGAATTCGTATCGACCAGCCATTGTGGCACTCGAACCCGGTTCACCTCATTAGAAGGTGAATGCTCTATCCCTTGCCTTGAGCCATCACGTTTCTCATGTTTTATATTAAAAATTTCTTTTAAAAGAGTGAGGAATATATTTTTGAAAATGAGAAACTACGTTGAATTTTTATGACCATCAATAAAGAATTTAGCATAGGAATGAAATATAAAACTTTTTAGGACCACCTCTAAACGTTAGCATGACCGCCCCACACCAACTGAACATCTTCCATTGGATTTATATTAATAGTGAACTATTAGATGATCCTTGGGTTCAATTCGTTACAAAATGCCTTTAACAGAAAATATATGTAAAAACAAAAAGGAATAATACTATGATACAATGTCAGAGAGGATTCTATATAGCAATCAACTTTAAATTGCTGCTCAGAGCGCCATCTGTTGGATTTTGAAGATATTAACATGAATTGTGGAGTTTCCCTATCGCACATGAAAAACTTCTGATTTAGAATATCTAGTTTATTGCATTTGATTATTGTATTCGCTTGTTTCTAATCTATGATTAAACCCAAAATTTTAATTATATTTTTTCCTTAGGTGGATGATAATTTTTTACCTGATGGTGTACAAAATAGTCAACCCCCTACTTCTGGACAAACACAACGATCTTCGACAGATCCAACACGGTATAATACTCCTAATATACAAGTAAGATGCCTGTTTGCACTGCTTCTAACATAGTTTAGTCTTATTAATCATTCACAAGTATGTTTTTATTAAAAAAAAAGCATGCCAGTTTGCAGTTTATTAAAGTAATGAGTTTCCCTTCACTAAATTTAGCACTTATCTAAGTTCTGATATGTGTTTTGAAAGAATTGTTCATAAATTGATGTGTGATTGCTTTTGAAAGAAAAATTGCATTGGAATGTAAATTTGTCTCCCAAAATCAGTTTTGGTGCATTGAATTTGTTTCCTTAACAAAGATTTTAATATCTATAACTAGTTTTAATAAGCCCCTTGTATCACAACTGACAGAAATAAGATGAGAAGTGAGTTCTTTTTATAATTTAGTTTATTTGTAACTTAACATTTACGAAGAAAAAAATGATGTCAATTTCAAAGAAACTATCTTTTTAAAATACCATAAATAGTTGTTACCTGCAAGGAAGTACTTTAATTTCAATTTAAATTTTTTTCAAGAGATGTCCTAGATATTTTTAATGTTCTTTATGTATTGAAGTTTAGTAATTTAAAATTTGTCTGGCATCCATTAAATCACAGAAACCACTATTGATATGAATTAGGGATATTTTAGCATGATAAGACGGCAGAAATATTAAAATTATATTTCTGCTTTCTCACGCACCTCTTAAGCCGTAACTTGAGCTTAGCATAATATGCATCAAAAAAGGCAAGCTATGTCACAAATAAAGAGCATGACAGTATGTGGCACCACTGCACCATTTATATTTAAATATTTTCTGCAGACTTTTTAGATATGATCAACAATAAATTTAAATGATTACTTCATATATTAGTTTTTATTTCTATACAAATACAAAATTATTCTGAAAAAATACTTAACACATAACTAATGAGGAACCTGCAAGCGTTGGGTAATCACAGAATGTTGATTATTTTAACTAGTCTATATCTTAAAACTCTCTAAAATCAATTTAGAATTTAAAAAACTAACTCGAATATTAAAAAAAACTTAACTTAAAATTAGCCCAAAACGAAATTAACTTCACGTGACACAAAACGGGGTGGGGTTTGCTTATGATGTCAAAGTATAGTAACTCAGCGAACGGGAGGAGTTAAACCAAATCTTCCTATCTAGAAATGTGTTACAATGGCATTTTAATTTGAACTGCATTTTTTAAAAATTGTATTTCTTTCATGTTTATATCCTATATATATATTTTAAATATATATATGTAGTGTATATCAGTTGCATCCTCCCCCTTGAGAAAATTTTTGTGGGCACCTTTCAGCATAATGAAATAAAATTGAGGAACAAAAAATAAATGTCGAAACTACTTTTTTTTTCAATAACTTTTGAAATAAATTTATTTTTCTTTATTTATCCTGATTTATTTTTATTTATATTTGTCTATATACAAAAGTCTGAACTGTTTTGAAAGTTTTTTATTTAATGAGTTGATCCCAATTAGGGGGAATGAAATGAATGGTATATGAGCTGGAATTATAAGTTGTTAGGTAAATAAAATTTTTCAAAAAATTCTTTTTTTATTATTAACTTCTAAAATATTTTCTTTAATTTTTTTTTTTTTTGAAGAAACGTAAATAATGCTAAACCCCTATCATTTTTTATTTTAACTTTGATAATTTTTTCTTCTAGATAAAATTACTTTTTAACTTTAAAAAAAAGAACCTGTACACCACTTTTCTCTAAGAATAAAATCCTTTCACTTTAAAAAGAAAAAAAAGAAAGAAAGAAAGTGATCTGAACAGAATTTCATAAGCATTTTAATTCAGTATAATGAATTATTCATTCAGAGAAGCTTATTAATCAGAAAAAAAATCTTATAAAATTAAATTATAATTAAGTAAGTTATTGTAAAATAGTCTTAGCAACAGTATAATCATCACCTCCTAGAACAAGGTGGTATAATGCAGTAGTTACAGACAATTTGTGAGTATTTTTTTCATAGCGTTTTGACGACTTTGCACCAAATATGTCTTTTTCCTCCTTTTGGTACACTAAAAAATAATTTATTTGGCGTGTTTAACGTAGAACTATTGCACATGTTACAATGCAACACTTGTAGTTTTTGCTTGGAGCCATTTGTAAGAATTTATACTTGGCGCTGCATATGCTTTCACAGTTTCACAACATGATGGGAGTCGTGGTTGTACTATACTGTGACATCATCAGAGCGGATGGGAAACCTAGCAGCTATTTAGGGGGTGGGGCTAGTCGAGCGGTTTTAACTATTAGTAACAAAATAACTAGTTATCGCACCGGTCTGAAATTGGTGTCTATCTTTATAAAAGGGCATGATGTTTCATTTTAAAACATAAAAAAAAAGCATGCAGGTTCCTCATTATTCAACACTATTTAAACTATCTCTTAAGACTAGTTAACAAAATGAATCTAAATAAGTAATTATTTGACACTACTTAGATTATTACTGAAGACAATCTAATAAAATAAGTTCTTATAGATGACATCATTTTTGCTTATTTATACAAATTAAGTATATAGCAGAATTTAAGTTATTTCACTGATCTATGTTTACAGATTAAACTTTTCAATAACATGGTCCTAAACTTAGGGGCCACCTGGCATTCACTGATAGATTCTCATAGTGTTACGTCATTCATCCTCAGCCATTTACCGCTTGTTTGGGAATTTGTGTTCGCAAAGGGATTTCCAGATTTAAAAAGGGAAATTCGCTAACACGCGGCCCAACCACCAGACAATGCTATGAAACATGTACAAAATATTAAAAAAAATTAAAATACTTATTTACAATTTAAATATTGGACTGTGGTGTCTTGACTTTTTAAAAAATTTAATTGACTGAAAATAAATACATAACAGAAAAATATACTCGTTGCTATCTAGGGAAGTGATATGCTTCCGGGGAATTTTTTTAACGCCGAATCAAATTAATACACACCTAAGTCGATAAATTTAAAAATTAAGAAGCTATTTCAATTTATAAAACAGAAAATTCTGACTCTTACTTATTTATGCATCTGACCTAGCTATCCAGGCAAGTAAGTTATTGATTCCAATGTATTTTTTAAGTATTTAAGGGCATAAAAGTACTTGCCTACTTTTCAGGGTTGGCAGGTTTTTGACATGTGACAGTTTTTGACAGTTTAAACCATGGTTTAAACCGTCACGTCAAAAACCTCACTGTCAAAAATGTCGAAAATGTCAAAAACCTATATTCATATGTGAAATTTAATTAATACATAAAATTTATATATTTTTTATAAAGGATAGTGTTTCTAAATATGTTCTAGAAAAAATAAATTTAAAATTTTGAAGAAACACTTATATTTTGAATAGTAACCAAAATCTTGTACTTTTGAAAACTCACATCTTTTGTAATATTATGTATTCATTTTCATGTGTTATTGAAAATCTGCAGTGATATTATTAAGAAATTTATTTATAACCAAATTTAGTGTATAGTATAGATTATACTAAAAATTAGACATTTTTAAAGATAAACATTAGCAGTTTTGTACATTAGACATCTTCTTTTAAAGAAAAATCTTTTTAATATTCTTTTAAATCTTCTTAATAATCTTTTTAACATAAGACAATACAAATTTAAGTGCTTTCTGTTAAATACACAGAGTAGTTAGTGTCGATTTACAGTATATTCAGCCTATTCATTTACTATGCTGAAAATTTAGTTTATCCAAATACTTGTGAATTTCATTTTGCTGAATACGATATAGTTTTGTTGAATATCTAAATATTCAGCTGTTGAATAATTACTTCTTGCTTTCAAGATATGCATTATTTGTATTCTTAATACAAGTGGAGAAAAAAAAATTAAGAGGTAAAAATTGTTTTAAAATGATAAGTGTAATAATTATAAATAAATATAATAAACAATATGAATTATATTTATCATTATTCACAAATATAACTACTTTTAAATTCAAATTAACATACTGGATAATAAAGATATTCGGTATAACATTAAAATTTTTTTTTATACACTTGTATCAAGTTTGTATTTATACAACATAACTTGTAAGTTCCTTATAAATATTAGTTATATGTTCCTTATATGTCAAAAATGCATAGTAATAAACTTTTAATTTTCTTAAGTATCAAAAAAAAAAAAAAATTTTTTTTTAAATATAAATATTTAAACAATTTTTGTGCAAAATTTTTCTGCACATGCATTTGAATATAAATTTCTGAGATTTTAAATCTGTTATTTTACCTTAATTTTAATTAAAAAATATTTTAAAACCTGCTGATTACCTATAGTATAATTAAATTTCAATATAATGCATGGCAACTGTTGGTAGTTTTGAAGTTTATATATTTTTTTGGCAAACTTTAGTTTTTGACATTTTTGACGGGTTTTCGACGGTTTAAACCAGTATTATACCCTTGTCATGTCAAAAACCACTTTTTGACGTCAAAAACCCAACCCTGCTACTTTTGTACACAAACTTTTTTCAAACCTTGCCAAATTCTTAAGAAAAGGGGATCTTAAATAAATATGATTTATGTTTCCAAATTTTATCAGAAATTTTAAAGCTGAAAATTAATTTTAATTTATCTAGTCAATTTAACGTTTCTTAATATTTCTGATGTGAATTTTATACCTAATGTTCATGAATGTTACCTCACTTTTTTAATCCTAATTTTTAAGTTTATTTATTATTATTTATCTTTAAAAAATAAAGTACATGCAGTTAAAATTTCATAGTTTAAATTTCAAACCTTTTTGGTATTCTTAAAATATTTTAATGCAATTTATAATTTCATAACTATGATTTGTTTTTAGAAATTTTTAAAGTTAAAGTTTTTATTAATCATTATAAATCTTATTCTTCACCTTTTATACTGATAATTCTAAATCAAGTGCTCAATAAAACTTCAAATTAAGACAACTTTTGGTAAACTATCAAAAGTCTAAAATTTTATTGGTATACTAGCGGTAACTATATTTATATAAGTAAATCTATCTCTATATTATATATTAAATTGTTTCCTTTTAAGGTCTATAAAATATTACTTCTAAATTAAAAAAAATTTTAAACAAGCATGAATTATGTTTTTCTTTTGGTTATTTTGGTTTGTTGTTCCCCCAGCTTGATAGTATAACCATTTACAATTAAGTACCTTACCATCTTAGATTTGTATGTTAGCTAATTTTCTTCCTTCCACTGTGTTTATTTTCTCTCTTTTGAAGTCTGAAAATTTAATTCTTCATATTTGTGGAAATCTACAATCCTTTTATTTACTCTGAATTACACATTACTGATCTCAATTTGTCTAGAAAAGACGCAATTTTATGACACTATTTAAAACGTTTTGCTATCCATTGAGTCTATTAATAGTGTATCTCCCTGTATAAATTGTATTAAGGTTATTTACAAATTAAAATCAAAAATTGGTATTGATATTGAAATGATTTAAAGGTTATCCCTATGAATGTAATTTGTGAAAAATAAATCACCATTTCCATAGAAATAATCTATGAATCGTTTTCTTTCTTATTTTTAAAGCAGGTTTCGCTATTTATAGTTGCAGGTTTTTTCTGGAAATCTCACATCAGGATTAGTATAAGCCTGACAAAGGTTCATACAATTTTAAGTCTGAAATATCACTGACTTCTTAATCACATTCTTGATCATTGAAAAAGTGCAAATTATTAAAATGTCATTAAAAATTTGTGGATTACCAATCACATGCACAGTTTGCATTTTAATTTAATAAAATCATTTGTTTTTTCTTTAAATGATTAGTTTCTTTAAGTTACTCCGTCCTAGTGTCCTTATTTCACTAGAAATATAAAGGTTTGAAAAAGAAAATCTTTTTAAGGCTTGATATATAGATATTTTTTAAACTGATTTCTTTTCTCCTTTTTATTTCATCAGAGAATGCTACCAGCATTAGCAAGAGTTAAACAAGCTAGAGTACCTAATGCTTATGACAAGACAGCTTTAAAGTTAGAGGTAAGATACGTTATTTTCTAACTTTTTTTTAATTTTTGTCCTTCACTAATTAAATATCTTGGGTAATTAGTTTAGAAATAAGATGTGAAACTACCTTGATTATTTGAACCCTTCTTACAAAATCTGCTTCAATCAAAATTAATTTAGAATTTATTTTTAACTTTTAAATCTTATTTGCTTTTAAAGTTTTTCCAAAAAAAAAAAAAGTTATCTAAAAGAAAATATTGAATGAGTGAGAAATAAAACAGCTCTGTATCTCTTAGATATATTTAAGAGCATGGTTAATATTATTATTTAATCACTTGTATTAAATCTTTTTTCTTAAAAAATCCTTTATTCAAATAACTTTTTTTATTTGGATATTTTATAAATATATTTCTAAGGTTGCAATTTTTATAAAGTTTTATTTCATTCTTATTAAATGTTTTATCCCGAGAAACAATGAGAGGATAATGTATGTAAATTATTATGAGGTTGTTGCATATGAATTGTCGGATTTTTTTAAAAGTAACTTTCTTAATAATTTTTTTGATAAATGTTTATGAATTTTATAAAAGTTAAATATTATTCTAATACTAATTATTTGCTCTTTCTTATCATACTTAAAGTTTTATGCATTATTTATTTTGTATTGTTGTAAAGGTTAATTTCTAAACATGAATTCTCGCAATTTACCTGTTATTTTTTTATGAATTCAAAAATGGTCTTGGGGGCTGAGTAGCTGTTTGAAACTAAAACATTAGTGCTGCATTTAGTAAAGCTACTGTTAATGAATGGACACTTCAATGTTTGTTTAAAAAATTTGAAGATGGAGAGGAAAATCTTGAAAATGAACCACGCAAAAGACTAGTCAAAGTTTTATGATTCTCCATCGCGAGCCCTTATGAAATCTATTCCTTGCATTACGGTTGAAAAGTTGCATAAGAATTAGGATTTAATACAGTAATGGTATCAAGCTACCTCTCAATCATTGGCAAAGTCCTAAATCGGCAGTTTGCTTCTAAGAAATAAGAGAGCATTCTTGAACCAAAATATTAACTGTGATGAAAAATAGATCCCTTATGACAATAAGCATCGTTCAGCGCAATGGTTAAATGTAGAGGGACCAATTTTTCTTCATGATAACGATCGATCGTATGTTTCATTGATTGTGGCAAACAAGTTGGCTGAATTAAAATGTGAGGTTCACCATATTTACCGGACAACTTTCTCTGTGATAAAAAGTTCACCAATTTAGAGCAGATCAAAAACGACTTTTTAATCTTTTATTGACATCAGAGAGCCAAATTTTTTATGAAAGTAGTAGCTGAAAACTAGTTACAGGTTGTCAAAATTGTGTTGATTGTGATGGTTTTTACTTCGATTAATTAAGTAGTTTTTTTAAAGAAAGTTATACATTTATCGTAAAAAATCCGACTTTTAGTAAATAATAGCGTAATATTTGATATTCAAAATAGAGTAAATAGTAATAAAAAAAGACTAAATGTGGATTAAAACGATGTGGGAAATTTTAACTTCTGCATCTGTATGTGTAAAATAACTTGTTATTTAATAAACATACTTCAAGTAAATCAATTTAGTTCTATGCTATTAAAAAAAAATTCTATGCGGAAAAAAAAAAATTTCTTCTAAAAACTTACTAAGCATGTAGTTTTTGTACATAGATGAAAAAAGACTTTTCTGTGAAAAGTTGTGTAAAATCGCCGATTTTGTAAAATTTTTTATTTATTTTTTGTTTCCTGATCTGAATCAACTTATTCTTCATTTCATACTTAACTGATGCAATTAGTAGTTTTCTTTACACAATCACAAAAACAGCTGTAATTTTATTTTTTGCTTTATTAGTTAGTAATAATTTTCTAATTTTAACAATATCTGCTGAAATTTTTTAAGTACTTGAGTTTTGATTAATGTATGTAAAAAGGAAGGAAAAAAATCCAAAAAAATCTTAAATTAAGATTTGTGTTTAGTCTTTTTTTTTTATATGAAACAAAAATATCAGGTCTAAGAATTTTTTTAATTTTCAGTCCTGGTAATGATAAACCTTACACAGTTTAATGCATTGAAATGAAGACTTATATAGCTTAACAATAACATTTTTATGAATTGCAATATACCATGATATCAAATGAATTATGGTAAAGTGTCAAAAATCTTTCATTTAATTGTTCTACAACAGGTGATTTCAAATCAAAAAAGTTTTCTTGATGTGATATCACTATCTCTGGTTGTGGTTCTGGTTTATTATTTTCTTTCATTTAGCAAAATTCAGATAAATGTTATGGATTCACACTAAGTAAATGTGTAAAAGTGATTTAAAAATCATTTCGAAATTTGCCGTGTAAAGAAAAAGTGCTTTTATTACAAAAAGAAAAAAAAGTACTATTGATTTTTACGGTTATCATTGAAAGTGGATGGTCATAGTAATGAACCTTAATTGTTTGGAACATTGATTAAATGAAGTCATCGTTGTCCTAATATACTATAGATAATTGATGTTTTACTGTTAAATTTTTTAAACTCAAATTTAAATTGTAATATATGTTTATCTTTTTCTAATTTTATAAAAACTTAGTAATGTGCAGTAACTTTTTTAAATTAGGATTTCCAAATTTATTAATTGAATTTTTATGAGGGAGAAAAATCTCTTCCTCTATCCATTTTGAAAGAATTAATGTGTAAGTTATATGTTAAAATTAATAATTACCATCACATCTCTCTTATGTTCTAGAAATTTTGAAAATTGTGATTTATATTAACTGCTGCTTTTTTTTAATGTTGCTTTAAAAAAAATCCTGAAAAATAAATATTACTCTGAACAAAATTTTAAATTTTTTTACTTTCTGTTGGTCAATTTTATAAACAAATGGAAAAGTTTTAAGTACTCGTATGAACCAACAAGAATTTAATACAGATTTTTTAGTTCCAACTGCAGAATTACAGCAAACTTTTGACAATTAATCGTAGAATTTCTTGATTTGTTTTTATTTATTTCATATTTTCTTGTGTCCCAAAAAAAGGAGAGGAGAATTTTTTCAACTGATTTATTTCAACTTCAATAACAAGTACAACTGATTTGTAAAGAATAAAGAATGATAAAGAATAAAGCATAGTTGAAAAATAAATGATAAAATTTGTGCCACTGGTTACAAAAATAAGGGAAATTTCATAAAAATCGGGGGATATTTATCCTGGCTACTACTGACTAGGTTCAAAGAGATTATTCTTATCATTTTTTTAAAGTCAAGCTGTTNTATTTTATCCTACTAGGCCACATGTCTGGCTTAATGTTATGCTACATTACAATTTGTGATCCGTCCTTAGCAATTGTCCATCAGTGTATAATAATGCTTATTTCAGTGTTTTCAAAAAATGTAACTTTTAGAATATCTACTAAATGTTTATTATTGTTAAAAGTGCTACAGCAAAGCATAACTATAGATTGATTTCTAACTATTCACTCAATTTGGTTTTCTTTGTAAGTAGTGGAATTAATGATCTTCTTTCAGATGGTTGGTTTAATCAATTAATAATAAATTGATCTTTATAATAGTCTGAAGTTTTTTGTTATTTATGTCTTTAATGATAGATTTTTTCATTTTTTTATAATAGATTCTTTTGTCTTTTAATATTTGATTCTTTTTTAATAGTGTTCCAGGTGAGGAAAAACTTGAAATTTTCAGGAAAATTTATTTTGACTTTAAAAAGCTGTGAATAGTAGGGGAAAGTTGTGCTTTTTTACAAAAACCTTAAAAATTCCTGACTTTTACCTAGAAAATAATTAGCCTTAGAACTGTCCCTAACAGTAATCAATTATTGAGATTTGATTTAAATAATTCTGACATCTATTACAATTATTTGTTGCAAAAATTCCATGTTTTCATCCTCATTCGATAATATTGTTTTGCTCACAAAATCTATTTAATATTACCAAAAAAAAAAAAAAAAAAAAATCCCAGTTTTCAAACAATGAAAAATCGCATGCTTTAGATAAATATGGTATGGATTTGCATTGAAATTTTCCTGAAATACTTGGAACAGTCTAGAGGAATTTTTTTCTGAACTTAATAACTTAACCCTGTAATAGTGCATTTAATAAATTTAAGTATTAATTAATTAATTAATAAGTAATTAATTAATATTAGTAATTTAAATATTAGTGCTTAAGTCAAAATTCCTACATCCAGATCTAATGCACTGTCATTCAAAAAATTATATTTTTTGACAGAATTTCTCTTTTAAATATGTTTTGTCTAATTTAATTTTTTATTTCAGGTTGGAGATATAATTAAAGTCACAAAAATGAACATAAACGGACAGTGGGAAGGAGAGTTGAAAGATAAAGTTGGTCATTTCCCTTTCACGCATGTGGAGTTTCTGGATTCAGATAATCCAGATGAGGAAGAACCCTAACTGATTCTTGAAACTCCTGACAATATTTTTTTCTTTTTGCCAAAGAACCACTGTGAGAGACATTAATTATCACACACTTAGCCACCTTAACACCCTTCGAGCAAATGAACTCTTTGTCCCCCCCCTTGTAAATATATGGAGTGGTTGGTGTCAATTTTTGTCAAACTTTTTAGCTCAAAGTTACTTTTTTTTTAAAAAGAAATAAATGGAACAGAAAAAAAAAGCAAAGCATGAGGGAGAAGTGTGCAAATTTGTCATGTCCTGCATGTTCAATGACAATCTTATTTTTTTTTCTTCCTTGCCATTTAGAATGAAGCTAGTCACTAAACAATGAGTATTTTTGTTTTGTTTGTCAGTGGTCAGGGGCAGGCTGTTAACAGGGATGCACAACTTCCGGCCAGTGACCCTTAAAGCCATTTAATTTGGCCTCTGAACTGTCTTTAATATTAATAAGTATTAATAAAGATATGAAAAAAGTAAGACATCTTTTTTATAACCATGCTCTAGCTCTGTAACATTAAGTTCCTGATCTAGTTTAGATTTTTCTGAGTGCTTGATTGTAACATTTTTTTTTATTTGGATCATTGTTTGCTGCAAAATGTGATTTTATAATTTCAAAGTTTCAATCATAACCTTCACACAAATTTGATACTTCATTTGTATACTTAATAAAAAATTTTGTTTTTTGAATACTTAGCTTTAAAGTTAACTTTTAAAGTGAAAATTATTTTTGACTTCCTTTTTTTTTAATATCTGTCTAACTATAACTGAAATCTATAACGTAAACTTATAGAAATATGTGATTTGGTTTATCTTTATTAAATATTTTACACCTGAGTAAAAAAAAAGAAAAAAGAATCAGCTATAATTAAGTAGTCAATCATATTATTTCAAACAGTCTTAACACACCTTACATTTTTATAATTACTTATGTTGGCTTACTATATGGTATTCTCTAGTTACTGTGGTCCACTAGCAAGAATGATTGTGCGTCCCTGCTGTTATGGTAAGTAAAGGTTTGAAATAATGGTATTATATTAGGTTGTATTTGAATGGTATCATAATGTTATCCTATTTTGCAGGTTATTATTTATTGTTTACTGAATATGTTCTCTTGTTAATCTGAATTTTTTTTCTTCTGTTGAATATGAAGTGAATGATTTTATTTTTACTTATAGTTTATAATTTCAAAGGATTGATTACTTTTTATTAGAAGAGGAATAAATAAATTTTTATTATTTGTTTAAATATGTAAATTTTATTATGGTATCCGACTATCCCCCTCTCCAAATTTTTGTAGAATCTTTGGAGTGTATTATTTTCACAGCAAAAAAATCAATTTTATTTTTTAACTTAGGAGTGCACAACCTGAAAAACGTTTGCCTTTATTAGCTGCAAAGAATCATTCTTTTATGTAACCAGAAAAAAAAAAAACTTAAAAATTAAATGACAATGCTTATAATATTTTTGTATTAAAAAACATTTGAATTTGGCATTTTTTTCCCCTTTTGAACTGCACATTTCCCACTTTCTTTGTAGAAATTTCTTTTTATATATATATTTTTTAATGGTTAGAATAGAAGTTACTATCATTAATTTTTTAATAGATCAAGGTTATGTTGAGATTTAATTGTTTTAACATTTGATGTAAGTACCTGCATTTTTTGTGTGAAATTTACAGTTATATTGTCAGTGTTCTTAAAGTTTATTGAAATCAATTTTTCCATTTTTTTTTTTTGTTGGAAGACAAGGATTTATAGCTTGTGCACTCTTATTTTAAATTAGAACTTCTCGTTATATATATTATTTTCTTATTTAAAAGTATAAAAGGTGTTATAATTTTTATCTAGAAATCCTTTTTTAGTTTCTTATTAATAAAATATTAGTTTAAATGTATTTCTCATATTTATGATACTTCAGCCTGCCTCTGCATAACTAATAAGCTTCTTAGATTCTCCGTTGATTAAAATTCTTTGCAATTGAAGGCAAGAATTGTGGCTAACTGCTCTGTGAGAATTTTTATCATTAAAAGTGTGATGGAATTGCACATGTAATGTGTGATAACTGCACATTTATGTAAAGTTTTATTGCTCACATTTTATATTGCTGGAATTACAATATATATATATTACAAGTGTAGTATAAAAGTTTTGAAATTTATTTTTGAACTTGTGTGATCAATCATGTATGTTTTGTTTATTAAAAATCAATTTAAATTTTAATCACTGATATGAAATTAATTTTTTAAAATTTGTTTTAAAATAGAACAAAAATAAGTTTTATGTTTGTAAAATATTTTTTTCTTTCAATTACAATTTTCTGTAACTTTTTAACTTTATAGGCATACCCTTTTTTAGTTCCTTAGTTCATATTATACCTGTTACCAAATCTTTTTAAATTTTTATTTTTTGAGTTAAGCTATTTTTGACAACAGAAAAAAAAAGTCAGTTCTAGTTTAAAATTATAATTTTCCCATTTGTTGGTATATTTTTCAAAATCATTCATTTGAAATTTATGCACTCATTTTAAGCAAATTATCAATTTTATCTGATTATGTCAATTTTTCTCATGAACTATTTTTAAACGTTAATTTTAATCATCATAAATTATTTCATATCAGTAAATATCTGGTCAAATTGTGGCTTCTTTTTGGTTTGTATGTATATTTTTATTTTATTGTTGAATGATTTGAATTTTTGATGTTCACTGGTTGACTCTACCGAAACTATAGTTTTTATCAGTTGCATTTAGTTTTTTTTTTCTTCGGTTTATTAAGAGAGAATTTAAATTATTAATTATACTTGCAAATTTTAACTCTAATCAGATATAAATATTTAAATTTACTGTAATTTTTGCATGGTATACAGTTATAAAATTTATTTAAGTGCTTGCGTATAGTTCAAAATTTGAACTACTATTATTCTATTTAAATTGAAAATTACTATTTTATGTAAAAGGCAACATAGCGAAAAGTTTTGCTAAAGATTTCATAATCATTTAAGCTTTGTGATAAAATTCACATTAAAAAAATTTAGTTATAACTATGGAAACGGCACCAGGTTCTAAAAATATCATTTCCTAGAGCCCTGGGCGAATTATATCTGGCCAGCTCTATAGAAAACTCATTGCAAACTGCCACCATCTACCATTAATTTTTTTAAAAAAATTTCTACTTAACAAATTTTGAAAAGCACTGTCCAAATAAACTATGTCCAGATTATTTTTCAATTCAATTTAACACAATGCATTATAAGCAAACTATTATTAGTGATATAGGTGTCAAAATAACTTATGTATAATACACATTTGTTGAACCTTGATTATTCCAAATTGTGCACTAAAGTGTGACATTTTTGTCTTATCTTATACCCACTTTTGGGTAGTTCAATTTTTCTTGAAACCATTTTCTAATCTATGGTCCTTTTACTTTTAAAGTATAAAATTTTAGTCCACTTGTGGTCCCACGTACTAAGCAACTTATTGCAATTTACATTTGCAGTGTTAATACGCTATTGGAAAGTTGATTGTTTTTTTAACGAGTGTTGGAATGAAATTGGAAAAAAGAAGGTTTTTCTATGCAATTATAATGTATGTTTTGTTTTCTCTAACTTTTTAACAGATTAAAAATTCTTATCAAAAAAGTAACATTTTGATAATTATTATCATTATTTGATTAAATTGCTTATCATTTACGCTTCAAATTGCTTATATATCTGCAATGCCCATAAAAGTACAGTATTAATTTTTTTTAATTTAGCCCCTTCAGGATCAACACGATCACATGATTTTTTTTCCATGTCCCTGAGTATCTTAGATGAAAGGAGCCTTTCCGAATCCTGTGGCCTTAGATCACACAGTTGTGTTCTCAATTTAGTACTACTTTTGTGTTACAACCCATATTTGCGTGTATGTGGATACTTTAGTTTGTATATTCTCAGAACATGTGGGCCTAAAAAAATGCTTCTTTCTCCTTTTACCTGTTTTGAAGCAGTTAAATTGGATGTGTTTAAGGAAAAGGTTAATTTTTGATTAATAAAAACAATATAAATAGTTACTCACAGTAAGAGAAACCTTAATTTAATAATACAAATTTTTTTTTTGTGACATTAAAGTGGTGATTTTGGCAATCTTACTGATGTGATGTATACTAAATTGGCATATATTGGTCACTATTTCAATATTATTGTCTTAATTATTCAATTAAAATACATAATGTAATAGCTGGGGGAAATGATATAATTAATTATAAAAAATAACTAAAATAAATTAATTATTGAAACACAACATGTTTAGAAATTACTTTAATACTACTCTTTTAGAAATCATTCTTTTTATTTTGTATTTTATGGCTTCTGCTATTAAAAGGTTTTGACAGGGTGCGTAGTGTTTGTAAAAAGTACTTAAAGGTGCTTTTTTGGGGATTTCGTTTTTAAAAGCTTTTAAAGGGGCTTTTTCAGCTGGCGTTTTTAAAAAGTGCTTTTTTTCCGAAATTTTTTTTCTCCCTCCTTCAGTGATATCTGGTGGATCCCATGCATTTCACGAAAAATGGGGAGTTTGCTACGTAATCATTCATTGATCCTTACTTACATGATA